AGTCATCCTGGTCCTTCCGATGGTCGGCAGCAGGGGCGGGGCTCGGGCGGGGGTACCTGGACAGGTGCACCCAGAGCGCCTCCTCCATGGCTTCTGGGAGCCGCTGCCGGGATGGCCCAGGGCTGGGGCCCTTGAAGTCCCCTCTTCTTCCGGCCCCAGTGTGGGTCCCCACGGAGCTGGAGATGTGACCCCGTCCCGACTGAGCGGCTCCCACAGGCTCTGTCCTCTGTCCAGCTTTGGGGCCCAGAGTGGGGGAGCGTTCATGGCTCTCTGGCCTCTTGGGAGTTAGGAAGTTGGCTGGGACTGATGGGTTGGGGCCAAGTGTGGACGGGGCAGGCTCTGATTCATGGACCGGAAAATCCCTCCTTAGTCATCTGCCAACTGTCCCCGAGTCCTGGGCCGATCACTGGCTCTGCCACTTCCACCAGAAACCCAGGCAGGAGTCAGGGCTGAGGAGGACCCCTGCCCTTCGCTGTGTGTGAGACAGACGGAAGAATCCTAAAACCATGGCCAGGGCTCCCACCTGGCCAGGTCAGGTGCTAGGAAAGCTCTTGACCCGCAGAAGCTCACGAAAACCTCTGCAACCCTTTGGGAGTCGTTCCTGTTCCCATGATGAGGAAACTGGGGCACAGAGAGGTTGGGAAACTTGTCCAAGGTCACCCAGCCAGGGAACAGCAAGCCCAGATTGGGATGCTGGCTCAACCAGCTCATTTCATTGCCTGGAGGCCACGAGGGTGGCCAGGACGCTCCTGGGGACCCTTCCCAGGAAGGGCCATGGAGAGGAAACTGAGGCACAGAGCCTTGGGAGATGGAACAGCTTGCTGGCTCTGGGACCCTGAACAAGTGAATTCATCCCAGCCCTGATTCTCACAGCCTAAAATAGGGTCATGATGTAGTATCCACCCCTTGGGGTGTTCTGAGAATTGGGAAATCGCATACCTAAAGTGTTCAGCACTGCGTAGGCTAGGAAACGCGCCCTGATTATTCTTCTTTTTTTGTTTTTCTGATTTTCTGTAGAGATGAGATCTCACCATGTTGCCCAGGCTGCTCTCAAACTCCTGGGCTCAAGCAGTCCTCCCCGCCTTGGCCTCCCAAAGTGCTGGGACCACAGGCATGTGTCATCACACACAGCTCATTTAAAAAAAAAAAAAAATTTTTTTTTGTAGAGACAAGGTGTCACTATGTTGCCCAGGCTGATCTCAAACTCATGAGCTCAAGCCATCCTCCTGCCTTGGCCTCCAAAAGTGCTGGGATTACAGACGTGAGCCACTGTGCCCAGCCTTAATCATTATTCTTTTTTTTTTTTTTGAGTTGGAGTCTCACTCTGTCATCCAGACTGGAGTGCAGTGGCTGCTCCTGGCCACCGCAGCCTCGACCTGCTGGGCTCTGGCAATCCTTCCGCCTCAGCCTTCCAAGCTGGAACTACAGGCGTGCGCTACCACGCCTGGCTAATTTTTGATTTGTTGTAGAGATGAGGTCTCATCAAGTTGCCCAGGTGAGTCTTGAACCCGCGGACTCAGGCAATCCATTCACCTTGGCCTCCCAAAGTGCTGGGATTACAGGCTGAGCCACCGAGCCCGGCCTTAATCATTATTCTTGTCACTTTTGTCTTACTTCCTCCTGCTCCATCAAAGCCTGGGGGGCAAGAGAATCTTACACCAGGACCCTGGGACCTAGCATCCGGGAGGGAAGCCACAGAACGTTCTAGAATGCTAGCTGTGGACCAGGGGTTCTTGTAAGCTCTTTGCATCCATTAATGCATATTTAATTTTCATAATCCTCAGGAAGTGGTTTTTTTGTTTTGTTTTGTTTTTTTTAAGAGGTGGGGCTCTTGCTATGTTACCCAGGCTGGTCTTGAACTCCTGGGCTCAAGTCATCCTCCTAACTGGCCCTCCCAAAGTGCTAGGACTGCAGGTGTGAGCCGGGGAAGGGGAGGTTGTGACTGAAAGCTCAGGGGTCACCCAGCAAGAGGGAGCTGTTGGCATCTCCATTGAACACTTGGGGAAACTGAGGCTCGGAGAGACCACGTGACTTGCGTGGGTTGTGCCGCTGGTAATGGCAAAGCCAGGATTCAGGCCTGGGTTTTAAGCTGCCGGCCCTTCCCGCAGGTGGAGGAGCGGTTCTCCCGGGTGCCTGAGCCAGTCCAGAAGCGCATCGTGTTCTGGTCGTTTCCACGCAGCGAACGGGAAATATGCATGTACTCGTCACTGGGCTACCAGCCCCCCGAAGGCGAGCACGACGCCCGGGTGCCCTTCACCCGGGGGCTGCATCTGCTGCAGAGTGGGGCCGTGGACCGCGTGCTGCAAGTGGGTGAGTGTACGCCCCCACCCCTGTGGGGAGGCCCAGGCTGGGGGAGGGGAGGTTTGTTTCTCAGACCTCAGGCTTCGAGGCCCAGGTGAAGTTGTCCAATGTGTTGTGACTGAAAGCTCCAATGTGTTGTCACCCCAGAACTCAGCAGGGCTTAGATGAGGGGGTGAGGAAGGAGGGGGAACCAGAGATGGGGGAGGGGAGGTCCCCGAACTCAGGCCGCGAGGCCCATGTAAGAGAGAGGTGAAGGCCACCATAGGGATTGGGGGCAGAGGTTGAGACGCAGTGATGCAGGTCCTAGACTTCAGGTTTCAGGCCCAGATAGGCTTGGGTTTGGGCAGCTGAGGAACAAGGGAAGGGGTGGTGAGACCGGAGGGAGGGCAGGTCCCCGGTGGGGTCAGAGGAGTGACTGTCAACCAGAAGTGAGAGGAGGTTTCCGGTCTCAGGCAGAGGGACCCCAGGATACTTTGGGCCAGGGGTAGGAATGAGTCTAGACCTCAGGCAGCGAGGCCCAGGGGGAAATTGGACACAAAGATTTAGAGCCAGAGGTGAGTCTTAGACTTCAGGAGGAGAAACTCAGGGAGGCTGGGATCAAAGGCTTAGAGCCATTGCTGAGTGATGGTCTCAGACCTCAGGCAGCAGGTCTTGGGTGAGAATGTGGAGTCCAAGTGTAGGATCGGCTGTAAGGGGAGGTCTTAGACCACAGGCAGGGGGATCTAGGCGAGAGTAAGGGCAGAGGTTGAGGGCTGGAGGGGAAAACCGACCCTAGACTTCAGGCAGCAGGATCCGAGTCGGGGTCTCAAGAAGGTTTTGGACCAGAAGGAAAGGAAAGGGCCTGCGGAGCCCAGGTTGGGGGGAGGGCCAGAGAGGCCTCCAACCTCAGGCAGAAAGGGACTAGTAGAAATTGACACAGGAAACCAAGGGCTCAGAAAGGGACTAGTAGAAATTGACACAGGAAACCAAGGAGGCCGGGACTCCAGACCTCCCATGGCAGCAAGCCACGTCTCCCAGCTGGAGGCAGGGCCCAGCCAAGATGACTCTGCCGGCCTGTCCTCCCTGGAGCCCCCTTGCTGCGACATGGCCCGGCCGTCCCCAGGCTCCTGGCCACCTCGTGGGTATGAGGAAGCCCCATCCCCGCTTGCCGCAGGCTGGGCCCGAGCCGCCCGACCAGTCGGATGCGCGGGGACCAGGAGGGGCGGGGGCCGAAGGGTGACCTGGCCCTGGGCCTGCCTGACCAGCCCCCGGTCCCCCAGCATCTCGGACCTGTGACATCTTCCCAGGAAGTTCGGCGCTCCTGAAGCCCTTGTCGTAGCCACGGTTACCCAAGGGCTGAGACAACCACTCCCGCCTCCTGGCTGTGAGGACGCTATTCCTAATTAGCCTTGACAGGAGGGTGTTTACTTAGGACTTCACTTGCTGCCGTGGGCGCTCTAAGCCCTCCCCGAGCACTCAGTCGTTTCGCTGTCGCCACCGCTGGGGAGGGTGTTACTGCTACTCCGGTCGGACCGACGTGGAAACTGAGGCACAAAACGTGTTCGGTGACTCGGCGCGGGGTCACCGCTGGGCTCCCCGGGGGGACGCGGCCGCGCGACAGCTTGGCTTTGGTCGTAGGGTTCCACCTGAGCGGAAGCGTGCGCGAGCCCGGCGCCCCCGGGGAGCCCGAGCGCCTGTACCACGTGTCCATCAGCT